ATTTTTCCACCCCTTACAATATTAAAACAATCAAATACCTGTTAACCTGAGCAATTGAGCACAGCAATTTGAGAATGGTATGCTTTCCCCACTTTGACCACTAGAGGGAGGCATAGTAAGCTGTTTTGGCAAAATGATGGCTGCCCTTCAGAAAAGCTGCAGCATGTTAACTTCTACTAAAGGAGTCTAACATTCCCTCTTTTAAAACAAGATGAACATTAACATAAGTTAATACATTTTAGAATGGTCTGTTACACAGATAAATTATAACACAAAATGTTTAGGAGGGCTTAATGCTGGCCTGAAAAACTAAAACTTGCACAGAACTCAGCGAAAGAAAAGAGTGATGAATTAACGTAAGTTGACCACAGATGATTTAAATGGCTATAATCAAGCTATTCCAAAAAGACTCATAGAAGTTAAAGATACTTGCAGAGCTAATGACAATAAATGTTAGACTGACTGATCTACACAGGGATACTCAATCCAATGGGTAAAAATGTAAATTGATCAGCATGATTACCCTGTTGAGTTGATAACTACGGAGTTTTATATTCCAACGTTATTGACAAGGACACCAAAGGGGAAGCGGTTGAAGAGCCCTGTGCTTGAGGCAGAGAAGGCTTCTGAAATAGCTCTATAGTAAAAGGGCTGTTGAACGAAAGGTGATGGAGGTACATGTGCGGCAGGGTGACATAGTGAGATGGAGATTGTCCTTCAATCTAGAGCTCCTTCAGCAGAGTTCATGCCCCCGTCTCAGTGGCAGGCCTCCACCATGCCAACATGTCCTTAAAAGACACTCGAAAACCATCCAAATTCCTGAGACACCGCACTGACCTCCCATAACAGAAAAGCAATTATTTCCATCAGGGAATCAAGTGGCATGTACAATTGAATCTCTGACCCCACTGTGACCTGACGCTCATGTGTCATGCTGTACCTTTATCACTTGGCTTTCACTATGTGTTGTCTCTTCTAAGTCAAAAAACTGTTGCGATTTGAGAAAGATTACGCTTTTTGACATCTTGAAATAGGGCCTTATTATGGTTGTTCCTCTTACCATCATAGAATTGTCCCAATGGGCAGTTAATTAGAGGGCACTGCCCATGTAGAGGAGGGTTCCCCCCCAGACACAGGTTACAGTCGGAGGACCGCGGCCCGTGGCACGTCTGGCAGGAGCCGTGGCAGGCCTGGCAGAGCCACCCAGTGGAGTCACTGAAGGTTTGAGATGGGCACTGTTTAATACAATCTCCTCCTGAGAAGCACAGAGAGGAAGTGACATTATTTTTCTAATATAGCACTATATCTCTATCAGTAAATATAACTAATGAAAAACATAGCGGAGACAACAGATTCAGATCCTAATACATGTTTGGAAAAACACAAATGCAATGGAAATAGAACACATTATTATGGGTTAGATTCATATAATTGTGTATGACCACCACAATTATATGAGTCGTTTACATATGGGACAGTGACTTCAAAGATAAGTTCATGTCATTTACAAACCAATAGAGTGGAGCAACGATGAAGTATTTTTGTAAGACGACCCGGAAGTTGCATCACACTGCTTCCCTTGACAAAGAGCCAATGGTATTTTAAATTATTGCAGAAAAAAGCTCTCAAACTAATGTTTGGGTGATCAATATATTCTATAATCAATTTCTTTAACACCACGATTTTCTATCAGAATACAGATACAGATCATTTGGTTAGTCGAACAGACACAGAGAAGGAAGTCTCTGAACGCTTCTGCCCATAAAATATAGACCTGATCATATTAAAATAATTGTGATAATGCAGTTGTGTGCAAGCTAATCTTTTTTTAATAGCTTCAGGCTTTACTTACAATTTCAAAGCGTTTACTTTCATGCCCAAAGGGAACACGACCCAACAACACAATCCTAATTCCACATTTGCATACTTTATATTTGCATATCTCATGTTACAGATTTGCTGACACGGACGTGATTTGCAATCCAAATGAAGAGTCAAGAGTCCAATCATTTGTAATCTAGAAGAATGATTGATCACTTTGACATACACAGTGATTTAAGACAATAATAAACCCTAAACTCTTTAAGTACTGTGCAGGACAAAAGGCTCATCTGAACCCCTGAGCATTCTAGTAGTAAACAAAATATGCAGAAAAACGATTATTCTTTTCTACTGGTACCATTGAGGAAGTAGCCGGGCTGGCAGGCTAGGCAGCGTGTGTTACTCCTGCAGTCTGAGCATGGTGCGGGACAGGACAAACACACACCCCTGCCCCAGTCCTCATAGGTGCTCTGGGGGCAATGTCTGCGACAGTGGTGTCTAAAGCTGTAAGAGAAAAATAACACCATTCAAACTATTTACTGATAATACATAACAATTAACAAACCATTTGTCTAATAGGGGTTACCTTGGTTGGTGATTGGCTAATGGTTACACAAGCCAAAAAAATCGTTATGACATCATAAAGTGGCCAAAATCTGATCAGCTCATTTTCAGACAGGTTTTTATATAAATGGATCAGGACAAAAAGAGAGCTAATCTTTTTTCCTGAAACTTTCGGAATCTCTTTACACAGAGGGGACACACGTTTATGTATGAAAGACATGAAAAAGTGGATTTTGCATAATAGGTGACCTTTAACTAATTGGGACGTCACAGCTTTTTTACAAAAGGAGGGTGTCTTTTCTAAAGCAAACATGCAGAACAAAGCTTTTTGAAATATCAAAGACCTGATGAAAACTATTATGATTTAATGGCACTTTCAAAGCTTTACAGTCAATGAAGAATGATGTTTCTGCAGGCAGGTTTAGCCCACATGTAGAAGTCTGAAGCTGGAGGAAGTGAAACCAGAGGAAAGACAAAACACACCACACGCAAGAGGCAGAGAATGCACTGTGTCAGTCCACAGCACACCTGCAGACATATTGTTGACTTTAATCCAGGCGTCGGTCAAAAGGTGCACTCAATCATCAGTACGGACAGCAAACAGAGACGGGAACATTATGTAGGCTGATATTTTTCAAGCTTATCATAGTTCTATTCTCTTCTTAAGGCAAAAAGTTAATTGGTGTTTTATTTGTAGCCCAGAGGCATGAGGAGATTTTCTGTCATTAACCTGTCCTATCATTCCTTCGGGGCCTAACTGAGCTATTTAACATGAGACGGATGTCCTAAAAAATAAATTAGCCTAAAGGAGATGAGATACTGAGTTGCAAAGAGGTCAAACATACAAAAGCAAGAATGACTCCTACTTTACAGACTGAACTCTCCAAATTAAACAAGCCAAACAGAAGTAAGCCACTAACTTACATAGTACAACATCCAACATCCTCCCCTCATGAGACAATCTGACCACTGACAGCCCATGCTGCACTTCCTGCTGCGTTGCCGTGGATTTGGTGCAAAGATGCGGTGGGTGTTTGAGGAGGAACAGCTGGAGACGCCACACTGCATCCATCAACTCACTTACAATAGCAGCTGGTGCAGACCCGGCCCTGTCTCTGGCCTGGAAACAGTGCACTTCTTAAGAGTCTGCAGGATGTTTAAGAATCGCTCTGTGCAAATATTAGACCATCCATTCCAGGAGAGCATATCAGCATTACCTAAGCAACTTTTGTGTAGGGCTTTAACTCCTCAAATCAGTGAGAAAAGGGGGAAAATATGCTGAATCTGGTCCTTCAAGTTAAGAAAACTGGATTAAATAAATGGTAAAAATCCTATTGAGAGTAAATAAAAGCAATTTCTCGGTTTCAGAAGAAAGATACCATCCATCCATCATGCTGTGACTCACACAGTAGGCAGTGAAAGCAGCCAAAGCTGTCTTCCTTTTTTCATTAATACCAGCAAAACCTCAGTAGTGGACTTTAAAGTGCTGGAAACTGTCACAATATTTCACAGTGAGGCTCTTCCTGCAGCTCCGATCCCCTCATGCACCACTGGACATATTGTATTAGTGTTCGCCTCACATATTACTACAGACAAAGACATGACTGAGACAGCCTGTAGGTCCTAATCTCTAAAAATCATTACTGTTAAAGTAAAACCCCTGACAAGTAGATTCACAGAAGAATAGTATCTTATAGAACCTAATGGCTGTTAGAGGAGGGGAGGGCAGTGAAGCGGTGGATTTTCCTTCGACCCCTCTCCACTGTGATTCACACGAGTGGTCAGTAAAGTCGAGATGGTCCATCCTATATAATCAGAGCCAATACTTGCTATGCTGTCCACTTATTCCTGCTCTCTTCTTCTCTCTTCAGCTCTCCTTCACACACATAACATAAAAACACACCCTGTTAAGTATCTCTGTGAGGCAGACCACTCTTCTGTGCTCAAACCAAGGCTCAGGTAACAGAGTATGAAGGTAACCTGACTCACACAATACCAGGAGGCCAAAACTCGGGGGAGAAGTACAACTGAAGGTCTGTTCTACCTCTGTAACCTGTTACACAGTTCGTCCAAGTGACAATCTGGAGTAAACACATGGTGAAATGTAGTTTTGTGGCGTCAAGAATATCAACAGAATGTATAGGAAGGTATTGTAAATCAACCCACACAATGCATATTGACTCTTTATGCAATGAAAATAAAAACAATTGAGTTTTCTTCATCTTCCATGAATTTAAAACAAATCAACTTTGGATTTTGAACTGAGGTTGAGACTGTATAAGCATATGTCAAAGTGTGCGACATTACAATGGGTATGTATTTCTATTGTTGGACATTTCATAAATCATAGGATTGTCAATGTTATAAAATAACAGAAGTAATAACAGAAACACAGTAAAACGGTCCATTGTTTGTGGTATCCTTAAAATGAAATGAAAGCTAGCTATTAAAAAAGATAACATTTGAAGCATTTGACACAGTAAACTCACAGGAAGTAACCTTCAACACAGCTGCTACAGATCCCAGGGTCCTCTGTGTAAACATGAGAAAATGTGATTTATTAGAATTCATAGGGAAAAGCAAATAGCATTGTGTACATTATAACAATGGTTTAAAAATACAAAGCCAATCCACCTTATATAAAGAAGGAAACAGCATGGTGCTGTTGGCCTCATACAGCATAGATGTGTGACTTACCGGTGGAACATGTTTTGCATCCCATCTCACAGTCGATGCACTCTCCTGTATCAGAGTCCTGCACCTGGCCTGAAACACACCCAGCATTATGACACTGAATGTCTTTCTCCTAAGCTGCAGCCAACTCAGAATCTGTGATTGACATGTACCTGTGTTGCAGGACGCCGTTTGGCAGACCCCATTCTGGAGTTTGTAGTGTTCCCGACATTTGGCACATATGTTGCCATCCGCACAGAGTTCACAATTGGCTATGCAGGGCAGGCAAGCATAGTGACCCCTGTCAGGGTAGAGTCCCCGGGGGCAGTGCGTCCTACAGCGACCTTGGTGGAGGAAACGTTCCTGTCCATCTTCATCTGAGGAAGAGGAGGCACAGGGGACTTGTTAAGATAAAATGTACTCTATTTTCTCTGATAAAGATGCAATCAGCCATGCGGAACTCTTCCAGAAAACACCTTTTCAAAATTCCATTCTTCTGAAAGTTAAAGTCAATGAGCTTCTCGTGATAAATACAGAGGTAGAGCCAAATGGGCCAGAAGATTAGATGGTTCAAATAAAAAATTAAAGGACATTCAGTGTGAATGTTTGGTACCTTCAGTGCATTACAGCATAAACACATATTGCAAACAATGTTACGTTTTTGATTGAAAGAAGAGAAATATGTTGTGGCTTAATAAGTGAATCAGTTGCAATCAAAAGGAAACTGCGGATTCATTACGCATAGTATATTTAATTAAAATAGAAAACAGTGGATGCACAAGTCATTAAAAGGCATGAACAACATCATGAATGGATGGCTGAAGCCCAGGATGTTGACTGCAATCCTGCAGATTACAGTCTGAGATCACTTCATGAGTGATGATGCTCCAACTAATGTAAACAAGGGCAATCAGAGGGAGAGGAGAGATCAGAGCTGTGGGCAGAGAGTCTTCTGTTGGCCCTAATGATTAATACTTTGCCACCTGCCACTAGCCTAGCTGTGGCCCCTGAGGCACCTCTGGATGCAGCTGAGTTACACAGCATTGTCTCATCTGCTCAGTGCTGCACAGAGGATGGGTGAGACAGGGAGGAGAGCAGCCACAAGCTGCTGCTGCCTTTCTACCCCTTCCACTTTCTGGAGACTCAAACTCAGCATGCATAGAGGCATCTGACTTCTAAATGGCAACAAACCACAGAGCATGAGGAGAGGGGTAGGGACTTTTAGCTTGAGTGTTTGTCTACACAATACAATAATATCATACAAATAAACATTGAAATACAGTTAAAAAATAAAATGCATAACGACAATGTCAAAAGAATACTATGTAGCCTAAGGTCTATTGTGAAAATGCACATAGTAGCCTATAAGAAATAGTTGTGTTTCGGGGAAAGAGAAAAGGACACTTGCAGGTTAAACTCAGCGAACTGCAACAGTAATACTTCTAGCCCAAAGGGACATTTTTTTTCCTCTGTCTCTGATTAACAAAAGCCCCATTCTAACACGATCAGATTACACTGTGAAAGCTCAGGAGAAAAATGATCACACCTTAATTTCTTACCCATTTCAATAGGTGCCTCTGTGCAAGAAAACTACAACCAATCTCTGACTGTTTAACAGGGTAAATGGTAAACCAGAGCTGAATGCTCCTCCTATAATGAAAAAGCCTTTAAACAACTTTGCTATGGTTACCATAAAATAGTGCTGCTTTGAAAGAAAAACTCCACCTCCCTTTCAGCTAGAGATTAATGATTCTCTCTGACACGGCTTTGTTTTTAGTCAGGCATGTGTGGAGACGAAAATATAATTAAATCAAAACAGAGGAATTCAATCGTTCAATGGCAAGCAATGTAGCCTACTGATCATATTTGCAGTGACATTATGAGAAATGCAGAAATGTGTCTTATGATGGCAAAGATATGTTCTAACTTTGATGAAGCCCTTTTGCTGTTGGTGATTTATATGTGGTCCTTGTAGAACTGACTATACAAAACATTACTTTTTTAAAGCCTTAGGATAGGCCTAACTAAAATGCAACGTATTACAGGGGGAATGAAAGATTGAATACACGTATGTGTTTCGCCTTTCTTTTCTTTAACAAAGCCAGCAATGATTATATTCCGCGTTTTAACGTGTGGAGAGATTTTTAATGTGTACTCACCAACTCCACAGGTAGTGCATTCAAACAGCTCGTGGCCGTCGCACTCGGAGCAGGTGGGATGGCAGAGGACGCACTGGCTCTTCAGTAGAAACTGTCCCCGCGGACAGGGCGATGAGGGTTTACATCCAATAAATCCCACACAGCACAGGAAGATCAGAAACGCAGTGACCGACCGCATGGCTGTTCCCCAAGAGACGTTTACTTATTGGGCGAGAATCAGTCAGGAGGAGAGATCCGCAATGTCCGTGCAGCAGGTCGGTGATGTGAAGCTCTGTGACTCCAGCTCAGAAACAACTTGCAGGACCAGTTCTCTCAAGTGTAGCGCTGGACAATGAGCGTGGACTGCGGTCAGCGTTTAGTAAACGATCCCAGGAGGAAAAAGAGAGAGCAACCCAGTTCCTGTGCCACAATCATAGTCTATGGGCACAGTACATTGAGATGGACCATTGTCAGTGAATAGCCTTAACAAATACAGATCATTTACCAGTAACTAGTTCTGTTTTCAAAAGATTGAAACACAGCTCTGACAAACCAACATACCTGATAATAAGCTGTAGGCTACTAAATGTCAGTGGATTACAAGTGTAAAAACCGGTAGCCTATCTTGTGTTAGTAATGGTCTGTTTTACATCAGTTAAAAATAAAACAGGTATCCAAAGGTGTAGCCACTTTAAATTCATACTTTGTATAACTATAAGAGATTTAGCTAAATGTTGGTAGGTTAGTCAACCTTTACATAGTTAATATACATTGGATTTGTAGTAGGCTAGGCTAGCTTATACATTTTAAATTGTGTTTATTTTAAAGTTAAAGGGAAACTCTATCAACACAAAAATAAATCAGACTTCAAAGGCCAATGTTCCTGTTTCGTGTTTCATGTATAGGTCAATTATTTAGGAACTTTATTGTTTGTCAAAAGAATAATGTTTAATTTTTAGAGTTTTAAGTGTTTATTTTATAATGTATGCCTTAATACATAATTTCTTAAAATGCAAATAAATAAAAAATAATTACAAAAATACATAATTGCTATTATCTTAAATAATGTTTAGGTTTCAACAATCTTAATGTTAATTGTAGACTCAAACCCAGTGATACATTTAACATAGACGTTTAAAAAAAAAAGGTCTGAATATAAAGTCTTAAACCACTGGATGACATGATATAATTAAGACTTTGGTAAAAAAAAATCAAATCAAAATGAAGTGATTTGTTTTTTTGTGAAGGCACAGCGGCCTCTCGCGGCTCCCTCCCGTCAGTGTCTGAGCGCGTGAGCCCGACGTCTCCGCCGGCTGACGTCAAGCGGCCGCGGCTGTCGGAGGAGGCGTGTCTTTGTTCTGCTGCAGCGGAGAAATATGACATGGGGATGAGCGAGAGAGAGCGAGAGAGTGAGACAGCCTGCTAGGAATTAACGTTTCGTCAGAGGTCTGGACTGAAAACCTTACGATGGGGAGTAATGACTGAAAACACAACGGTAAGAAACAGACCTGCTTTCTTTTGATTTGTTTCCACATACACAGCTACAGGCCGATTCATGGCTTATTCCATAGTGAACACAATAGGCTACCACTGCAGACAGGTGCACCTGCCTTTATGCGAGTACGTGCTTCGATGCATTCAACTTCAGTTTCCGTGAGAATAGCTTCTTATTTTAAGACGAAGAAAAAATGCATCGAGACCACACATCTCATCGACGGTTTGTGATGAGATCGAAGCCGGAGTTCAATGCTGTAAACATGGATGTTCTTCAGTCTGTGTGCTTAGTCACAGACCTTTGTGATGTGGGAACATACAGTAGCAATGTAATATAAATCTGAGACAGTCTATTGTGATGGATCCTAATACAAATATTAGCTTATTGAGGCTATAAAACCTTGAAGGCTATTGTTCCTTTTCTTTTACAGACATGGAATATTAATCATCACATGTCTTTTGGGCCAGATGGCTTAACATGTAGATGGTGATTGAATACATAACAGCTTCCTGTCACAAAGTAGATCACAGCTTTAAGCTATCTGTTTATCTTAAAAAATTGAAAACCACACAATAACTGCAAACACACTGCCTGGTCTAATTCTGGTGCCCATATAGGCTACGTTATTTTTTATTGTTGACCTGGTTTACAATATCTACTACGCCTGCCTGTAAAGATGGTGAGGCCACTAAGCCATTGCTATGGTATTTTTAAAACCATAATAATATCCCTCCTTTCAAAGACCTACATAATATAACCTTTAATCTATCATTAATATCAGATTATATTTGAGCTGGTTACAACCCTCGTGAAATGAACTGTGCCACCTGGTCATTTGGAAGATGATGATTTGCATCAAATCAACTTGTTTGCTGCCCTCACATTACAACTTATTCTGGCACCTATTAATGATCTGAATGCTTCACTTGGGTCTGCAAGACGGGCAGCAGACAGCAGTCGAGTCTGATTTTGAGACAGCCTGAATAGTCGGAGCAGAGCTATAAAGCAGGGCCCGTAGCTCCCAGGCCAAGCCAGGCCGTGCCATGCCATGCCAGCTCTACGGAGGGCTTCAGTGCAGCAGGGCACAGGGGAGAGGGCGCTTGGCACCTGATCAGGTACCACAGAGAATTCTGTTCCTGTCATTTGGCATTTAGCAACAGAAAAGAAGAGCAGAGATGACGGTTGTTGTTGAACCCAGTTGGGCTTTCATGTCACTCTGGCAATACTGCTCTATCAAAGTGCTGCTGATACAAAAGAACATTCCTTTGCAACATCTGTGCAAGTTGCCCACTACAAACTACCAACTGCTGCTTTTTCAAAAACCTATAACGGAAATGTTACACTCATAAGTTATCATGTTAAGAAAACACTGGTAGCAATATTAGAACACTTAAATTGACATGTATTTGTATTTTACACCAGAGGAACCCAGCAGCAATTGTGTGTTTTTCCTCTGGTATAATTGAACAGGAATCAAAACAAAATATAAAATTAATCATCTTGTGGGCCCTTAAAAATCTCTCCAAATGGGCTTACAGTAAATCTCCAATCTCCTTTGAAAGAATTCCATGTGTCCATGCCTGATTCTCCTAAAGTTTAGTCCTCCAGAGGACATGAAATGAGTCAAGTGCCCATGGTAATCATGGTCCAATCACTGCACGGCTTTGAAGTGGGCCCTGTTCTTCAGACATCTCTACAGGTGGGGGTAGCTATGTTAAGTGTACTGTCTGCAGGCAGAGGGAGGTCAGCTGGAGGCCATGGAGGCAGGCACAGAGCCTACTCAACTCACATCAAAATAGGCCGGGGGGGGGGGTCGACCTTTCCTCAGCCACTGCTCTGTGATCATACGCGAGTCTGTACAGTGCTCTGGCCTTGATGTTGGACAGATACTTTAAGAGAAACATTGTCTCTGACCCATTCTCAAATATGTTTGTGAATATGTGATATACCTTCAAATCACAGACAAATTAAGTCGTAAGCCTCGTGCCATAAATCTGTAATAAATCCACCAGTATTCCCTTATACGCTGTGGGAAGACTTCAATCACAGAAGTGTTATAATACATTTACTGCGGGTACCACTAAACCATGATTTATGGCCTTTTTTCTAGTGAATCTAGATTTGACAATGTTTGCAAGGTCAGATCTTGGGTTTTACATTTGCTTATTTTTTATGTCTGAAGAAGTACGGTACATATCCTACATGGCTCGTAAGCACAGTCTTAAGGGAGCTATTGGTTTCTGAAAGGAAGTTTGGATGCATGGACTTTAGCTTGTTGTCTTCTTTGTAGGTTTATGGAGCCAACAATGAGATCATCTAGATCAGTGGTTCTCAACAGGTGGGTCTTCGTCAATAAATCGCGACCCACTTTTGGGTCACGATTTATTGAAGAAGGAAAAAAGTGGGTCCTGAGGGCTTGACCAGTTGAGAACCACTCATCGAGTACTCTTTTACCCTTAATGTTGTCTGAATGAACACCTTCTTCTCTTTTTTTTAAATCAGATTACTCATTAAACAAAGTGACATGAACGATCAAGACACACTCCTCGTTTGAACTAATTGTATTTCAAGGTAGAATTTGCATAGAAATGCATAATAATGGCTATAATGGTGTGACAGGGATAGTGACCTCTGAAGCTTGATGTTTCTGAGATGAGTCGGTATGTACACATTTCAACAGTTGCACACATTGTTCACCTATGAGAAGGTGCGAGAAAATGACATATAGGTGACAAATAACTTTTACTCAGTCGTTATCCCAGCGAGACACAGGCAGCAACATGTGCCGGGTGTTATTTTCTGCCAAGCAGATATCCTCTGACAGACATAGCTTGTGTATGGGTGGATGTACGTGCGCTGCACCTCCTGCACCTAATTGCATTTGTGTTGCCTCTGTTGTCTGGAGCGGAGTCTGGGAGCAGGCTGGCTGCTGTCTGCCAGTGTAACATTCTCCCCATAAGGCCCAGTGTGCACCGCCATCCCCTGTCCTGCCTCAAATCAGCAAGGGAACAGTTTCTAAATCAAACAAAACACTGTTGCACAGGATACCCTTGGGGACTAGATTTAGCTTCATGCAGGCCCACATCGTAGGTCATTTTCATTCATTCAGAAAAAGAGGTCAGGCCTCAAAACCCAGCTGTGTGGTGGAAACTCTGTGAATCTCCATTTTGTTTCACAGTTCTTTTTCCGTTAAAGGAGATATTAAAGGGAGATGCAGGTTACACGCCACCCTGAGAGAAACAAAGAGCAGTAGAGCTGTTGTTAGGCCTGTTAGTCACTGTCAATGCCCTTTCTTTCATACTAAGATAAGATTTCAGCACATCTCATCAAACGTTTAAAAGAACCTATTCATGGAGCATTGGAGAGTAAATGTGCCCTTTCTCAGCTGTATTCCTATCATCTTCATTGTCTACTTCCTGGTGATGGAAGAGAGAGAGAAATCAGAGACTTAAAAGGGTCAAGAACGATATTTAAAAAAAACTATTGATGAAGGTTTGCAGGGAAGTTATTATGATTGCTAAACTGCACATACATTCAAAGTTGTATTCATTTCCCAAAAATATGAAGTGTAAGTCTGCTCAGATTATTTACCCTGCAGCAGGTTTCCTCCCACCACTTTTTGTATCTCTCCCACACACTCTCACAACCTTACACCTACACACACTTTCTCCACTGTGGGGTCAGGACCCTGAGGGAGGTCACTTCACATATAGATTGGGTTGTTGGAAATGTCCATGTGTGACTGATTATTTGATATAAGAATAAATCAGATATGTTTGAGAAACCAAACCAAATCATTCATATTATTTATACAATCTATTCCGTGATGCTTTTGGATATAGCGCAGGTACGCCATCTGTCATTTTGCTACCTTTGTGCGGGACCTAGTTATGGTTGATTTAGTGACGCTTACTTCTCTAACAGGAAGTGTGGTTTAATACTACACTAC